AAATAAAAAAAGACTTTCATTTTTTATTTATTCATCTTCTACAAGAAGCCAATTGAGAGAGAATAAAATCTTTAATAGAGGCCAATACCATTATCGCTTACTTTGATGAGTCCTATTTATCGCTTATTTAAGCCTGTCTAGTATAAATTGTCTGTCACCCAGTGTGGAGGTTTCTTAGGTGATCTTCTGTTGTGAAAGCACGGGAAAAATCGATATATCTGCGTAAGTCATTTATCCATCATTCTGAAATAGTTAAAAATATAATCATAATTATAAATTTCATTTCAGGACTTCTAAATTCAAGTTTAACATTTTTCTCAATTTTTTTTTCTGGAAATTTAAGTTTAGATATTGAGCTGGTTAAATTAACAAATAGACATCCTGCAGTTAGAGCCAAACTTTTCACTTTTTTTGTGTTATGGGAGTAATACACAGGTCGGTGAGGATTTGTCTGTTTAATACTTAGATAATTCATCATAATTATCTGAATTATCTGCAGGAAAATAAGAAACAGTATCCTATCGAAATTCCGCGAACAGGGAAAACACCTAATACTTGCATGTCGTTCGTTCAGCAGCAATTATAATTAATTATCTAAAATTCAAATAAAATGCAATGGATTTGAAGGTACAGACTTGATTTCTCTTGAATTTCATATCAATGATGCAAATTTTTGGAAGTAATATGCGAAGATACGAGCAATATTAGTATTTCCTTTTAATATAAAAAGAACTATATGTAAGAATATATTGGTGAAAGTGAAATATAAAATTTTGAAATCCATTTTAAAAAAAAATAGTACATTGACTGTACATGTTGTTAAATTTGAATTCAATATAATGAAAACCTTCTATTTTGTTTTATATCAAAAACCTTAAATCATTGATTAACTATCGTGAAAACATTGATAGTATTGTAAACTATAGTTAACTCAGTAAATTATAGTTTGGCATAGTAACTATCGTGAAAACATTTATAGTATATAGTAAACTACTCGTATAGTTAACTAGGTAAATTGTAGTTTGGTATAGTACTCTTTTGTTTGAACTATATGCACGCGAATCACATACAAATTAATTTTTTAAAAAAAATCGAGGCTACATGTTTATAAAAATGCATCATAAACTTGAGTATAAATTAGCTAGAAATCTCCAGTCAATGTTAAAATATTGAATATAAAAGCTCAATGGAATGCATGTTACATACATGTACGTATACTGGGGTGGCTCTAAGTAACGCCAAATTACGGATTGTCTCGGAATATAGTAAACTAGATGAAAACGAGGACAATCACGAACAAATGAATTTTTGTCATTGGTTACAGAGCAGTTCAAATATATCCTAATAGATTCTACTGTCAGTTAATGGAAGTCTTCTTGCAAGAAGAAATATTTCAAATTGACCTTTGTTCAAAATCCTTCGGTGATTGTGAAAGTAAGAGTACTTAGAATGGGCTTTGTTTTGATTGTATAATTAAAGCACAAATATGTAAAGCTTGAATAAAAATGCAAGTATGTACACTGCCTTTACTGTACACAATTGAACTAAGTCATATTCATTATTTGATATTTTACTTCGGGTCCATTGCCATGATGCTCCTTTGGGATTGAACAAAAGGAATATGTACATTTTTCAAATGAATTAATTACCAAAAGACATCAAATCTAATCCCATTATTCACATGCCCATTAACAACATTTTTTAAAAAAATTCATAATATTATCTTTTTTATTGCCTGCTCTTTTTTAATTCGGGTTTGATGCTATAAGAAGCTCTGAGACTAAGATCGGAGGCTGGCAAAAGGATACATGCCAATTCTGTTTATGAATCACTTCTCACAACTTATTTCTTTTACAGTGTATATCATATTTTAAACTCAGGTTTTGATTGAAATAACTTCTATTGACGGTTCATAAAGAATCAAACCCATATTAGTCATCATTTTCATTAAAAATTGAACGTAACTTAGATCCGCCAAAACGTGTCCACCCCTATACTGTCTTTTTTGGCTATTTTTTTGGTGGCGTAACGAAAAAGAAATCATAGGCTTTGAATAAAATTAACGATAATAACTTTGCAAGTTAACTTTAAATTACGGACATCGCCTTAAATGTCCTTTACGGACATCTTTATAATGACGTAATAATGTCATCTGTATCACGTGATATAAGTAATGGAATAATGTAAACTGACCATAGAGAATCTGACATATATGCTCTTCATCTCTACTTCTTTGAATCAAAATAAACTACCCATTTGAATATCGGTATTTTGTATAGCTGGAGTGAATTTAGCATCTTTCCTTATTGAATAAAGGGAAAAAAAATCTCAACTCAACAAAATAACTTGGCTGGTCTTCAATAACAATTATATATGATAAAGTTCAGAAAAATACATTGTTTTCAGGCATTTATCACCTGCTGTCTAAATTATCAGGACCTTTTTTTACACTTACCTGGCCTTGTTATTGACAGTTTAGATATGTTTACATATCGCACTTAACGTCTTATTCGTTATCTTTCGTGCACTAAGATTTTTGCATATAAACAAATTAAAAGTCGCCTTCCTCTCAGTCTCTTTCAATCTCAAAATTAGGATCCTAACTCTGAAAAAAATGCTTCAAGGTTGAAAAAGTTCCGAGCCTTGTTAATTTCTAAGAAATATATCTCAGGTATAAATTCGGCTACTTGTTGAGTCTGTAAATCGAAATCTGAAGCTTTGAAACACAAGAGTAGCGGTACGTTGGTTTCTGATGAGCTCAATTTCTAGTAAACTTATTTCGAACAGAACACAGTTACAATAAACACCGACAACTTTGAATGATCTATTTCAAAAGACACATTCATATAAATAGCAATGAAGGAGAAACTATAGGAGTACTGTGCAACAATATACATATGTATTCGAGAGGTGGTGTTAATCAGATGTGGATACTTAAGAATTCCAAGGAACTTTTTGAAAGTTTGAAATCACAAAATTTTAACAAAATCAATAACATCAAAACGTACGACTTTTCAACACTTTATAAAACCATTCCCTACGATAAATTAAAGTCCAGGCTTTTTGATGTCATTGACAGCTGCTTTTTCAATAAAAATTGAACTCATAAATGACTTACCTTGTTATTAGCAAAATTATTTTGTTAAAAAACATTCTGATTGTACACACAAGTACTCTAAAGTTGTCAACATTGAAAAGATGCTTGATTTTCTGAATGACACTATCTATTTAGTTTTTGGAGACCAGGCCATCCAACAATCTGTCGGAATCTCCATGGGTACCACTTGCGTTCCGTTAATAGTAGACCTATTTTTGTATTTATATGAATCAGAATTTATTCAAAATCTTATACATGAGAAGAAAAAGAATTTATTCAAAATCTTATACATGAGAAGAAAAAAAAAACACTTGCTGTTGCCTTCGATTCGACATTAAGATATATCGACGACGTATTATCAATAAACAGTTACTTCCATTCATATGTCGACTCGATATATCCCATTGACTATTAAATAAAAGATACCACAGAGTTTGACACATCAGTTTCATATCTGGATATTTTACTAGAAAAAGACCTTAATGGTAACCTAACAACAAATTTTTATGATAAACGTGATGACTTCAACTTTCAATCGTCAACTTCCCTTACTTATGTAGCAATATACCCTTATCACCTGCATATGGGGTTTATGTCTCTCAGTTGATTCGATACGCAAGAGCATGCTCTACGTTCCAACAATTTCTAAAACGAGGCAATCTATTGACAAACAAGTTGATGAAACAAGAATATCAACAGTCTCGTTTAAAGTCATCATTTCGCAAGTTCTATGGTCGATACAATGACCTTGTCAGCAAATACAATCTATCATTAAGTAAAATGCTGAGTGACGTTTTTCATACTAATTGTTACGCCGTTATATTTACACACTAAATTGTCTTCGGATTTTTCCTTTTTTCCCGATCATGACAAGGAGCACACGGCGGGCGTGACCTGTCGGCAGGGAATGCTCACTCCTCCATGAAAAACCTGACCCCACCTCTGATGTTGAAGAGATCCGTGTTTGCTTTGCTCCTGATTTGTGTTGTTTGAATGGACTTTTGAGCTTGAATACCGTTCGTTATCTCCATATTTCATGCAAAAAAAAATATGAGATAAAACTGTAACACGATAATTCTATAAAAAGCATTCTCTGATTGTACATAAAGATGGACAGTTTGCGTAGCCTGTATGATATAAATGTGCATGTGATTACCTTACGTCTCCTCCTTCGATTTTTACATGAAATGATATACATGAAAACAATAAATTGAAGGGGGGCAATTAGGGGATGTTGAAGTACAGGACGGAAGATTCGAGCCCCCGATTCCTATTCGATTAGAAACATTGCAATACTCACAAGAACTATATATAATCATTTAAGGCACCCACGCTTTAACTGCATTTCATGAATTGAAGTTCACATGAAGATCAATATACCTAAATGTAACCCTTCCTCTAATTAAACATTTGTCTAATAATAGAAGACTCTAAATTACTTCCAAATAATTATAATCAGCGATATCGTAATCCTATGATGAAATTCTAACCAGATTGAATCTAAGTACAGGTTAAGGATTAAATTCGTGTTTGTTTTCTCACGTTTGAAGAGGAGTGCACAAGTACAGGTGCTTTTAATTCATCAAGAAGAGACGTACCATTACTCCTCAATAAAATATCAGACTCCGTCAAGTAATAAGTACCTACCATTACTCCTCAATAAAATATTAGACTCCGTCAAGTACTAATTTAGTACCTACCATTACTCCTCAATAAAATATCAGACTCCGTCAAGTACTAAGTACCTACATGTAATTCATAGTACTTTTCTTGGTTAAACATTATCTTGAAGAAAAGATATGTTGTTTTTCTGAAATTATATATGATGTACAAATCTTGAAGCATAATGTGGGGTCATTTTCATGAATGGGACCAATTTTCTAAAACATTATAATTTTTACAGTTTATGGGGAGATTGTCTTGTTTGGCGAACGTCTTACTCTCACTTCAGCGTCCGCCGAGGTAGATAATTGTAGTTAATTCATCTAATGCTCTCTTACATCCTGTGCTTGTTCACAATCACCTTTGTATGTGGGTGTTTAATCGCAGCATAAATGTTTAGAGTAAGTTTACATAAATATTGTGGACTGTACGGGGATAGGTGTGTGGATCTCATGTATAAATTAAATTCCTGGAGAGGGGGGGGGGGGCATTCATTCTGTCATCAGCAACAAAATATGGTACTTCTAATTATCCTTTAATTTAGCATTTGTTTTTGAAAATCTATTTTGTTCGCTAATTTTAACACTGTGCTACATCCCCCCTTTTATCTTTCCTTTTTTAGAGAGAAAACATATCATGATCTACCGAGGACATCTACTGCAAATGGAAGATTTAATTGTTTCTTTTGAGAAATGAACTGACTTGACTCCTTTTATTTTGTTATGTACAGTAACACAATAATTTATCACATTAAGCGCATTATGATATTAAGCGTATTAGCTGCCGTATGACGATGACATTACTGAACTCCAGTAATGAAATGTTAAAAGGGAATAAGAAGGATTAAGTTGATTTATATCCATGTTTGTAATTGCGTGGATAATTTTGTTCGCAAAAACACACTTAAATATTTTATCTTATTTTTCATTAATTGAATTTATTTGCATTAATTTGCTTTCCGTGCAGTGTCCATACATAAAAAAACTTCCTCTATCAGTATTAACAAGATAAGAGAAATTCCACAATTTTTTATCATTAATTGATTTCATTGGATGATCAAGCTTTTAGCTTCTGAGATGTATAGCGGGTAAAATTAAGAGCCTAACAAGTAGTATATAATGTGTTTAACTAGACACACACGTATTTTCAGGAAAATAAAAAAAAATACCTCGGCCTTAAATTGTGAATTGAATATTCTATATACACATGTCATCACTACCTCTTAAAATTGATATTTTATTGATTTTTTTTTTAAAATGTAGTGACATCCTTACACTTGCGTTAAATCCAACAGTCAAACCGTGACGTAAACTCTGTTTAGCTTAGATGAACCTTAAAAAAGTTATAAAAGGTTTTTCTTTCAATTTATTTACCGGTATGTCTGATGAATAAAGATGAAAATCATGACAAGTCATCACATATAGAGCCAATTATATCTGTATACTGGTTACCTGAGAGTAAAGTATGCACAAATACTGTAATTAAAAGCCAATAAAGGAACACGGACACTGCTTTAAAATTTATGTTCTTCAAAATTTTTCGGTAGAATTTTATGGTTTTCATGTTGTCAGAGCTTTTCGGACCGATCTGTTTTAAAAGAGTGTTTAGAAGGAACTTTTAACTATGAATTTTGGGCGTGTTTAATTGTCGTTCTTCCTTACACTATCATGTTTGTACAAATCCTTATCCTTAATAGTTAAAAAAGGAAACATCTGTGGTGTATTAAAAAAATTAAAAGTAAAGAAGAAATATTAAAAGTAAAAGTCAGAATAGGAATGTAAGGAACTACAAGTATTGCCTCTTTGTGTTAAGAGAATCAGAAAAGTGCATTGTTAGCAAATCGAACACATCGGTGTTGTCTGATTGTGTTCAGAGATAAGTGCAGTGTTAGCAAATTGAACACACCGCGGTGTTGTCTATTTGTGTTCAGAGATAAGTGCAGTGTTATAGCAAATCGAACACACCAGTGTTGTCTGTTTGTGTTCAGAGATACGTGCAGTGTTAGCAAATCGAACACACCAGTATTGTCTGTTTGTGTTCAGAGATAAATGCAGTGTTAGCAAATCGAACACACCAGTGTTGTCTGTTTGTGTTCAGAGATAAGTGCAGTGTTTGCAAATCGAACACACCAGTGTTGTCTGTTTGTGTTCAGAGATAAGGGCAGTGTTAGCAAATCGAACACATCGGTATTGTCTGTTTGCGTTTAGAGTTAAGTGCAGTGTTAACCAATTGAACACACCAGTGTTGTCTGTTTATGTTCAGAGATAAGTGCAGTGTTAACCAATTGAACACACCAGTGTTGTCTGTTTGTGTTCAGAGAACAAGTGCAGTGTTAGCAAATCGAACACACCAGTAAAACGTAAAATACATTAACAACACCATGGTTACAATGAAGAATGCCGTTGTCATTGAATATAGGAGAATTTCACGTTAGTTCAGATCATTGAACTTGAGTTATTTGAATTCAAAATTGTAAACAGAACAATAATGCAAGTTGTCAGAGCTTAAGCATTTCTGTTTTACGTCAGTCCACTGGAAAGTTGGTACTACTTGATTTGTTAACACATACCAGAGCGAGAAAAACAGTTCTTGCTTCACATAAATATACCTGATATCAGAAAATGATTTGACAGAAATGAATTTCTAGCGGGATCATCGGTCCCGATTTGGTTCTCCGAGTTAAAATCATGTAAGGTAAAAATAGAAGATTCTTTAATTAAAAATGGATGTTTTCATTAACATTATTATATTATAATGGGCATTCTTTTCAAGAAGCACCGGTAATCCGTCAAGCTTTAATTATAAGGTACATTCTTCAGTAATTACGTAAAACGCAAAAAGGACATATTGGCATTGTCTAACATCCTGTTCGGAAAATCTGCTTCCAAATTGTTTCAAAGAAAACCGCTTTTAATTAAAACTCACGCAATGCCTAGTCTGTTAATTAGGAGTATTTAATTTCAAACACCAAAATACAGGATGCTGTACATGTTCAAATTTAATGACCCTTACCGTATTAACCGAAAAGTCTCTGAAGAGACAGTAGCCCTACAACTGTTCCGTTTTTAATGCAAAGGGAAAAAACTACAGGGTGAGTAGCATATTGAAAAAAAGAAGTACATACAGCCACTGGTCAAAAAGTGAAGAAATCAGGATGCTTTCTTTTGATCTTAGATCCATATGGACTAAAAATCAATTTCATCCATTTCTTTTGAAATACTACTTGAAGGATTTTTTTTTCGCCACTTTCGCCCGCCCTCTTCAATGGCCTATTCAGTTCAAAGGAGGGGGGTCATCGAATTCATCAGAAACATGATATCTCTTTTAAAATAGTTGAGTGGGGCGAATATAAAACGGGGCAAAATAGTTCTCAAGTGCAATACGGCAAAAAAAAAAAGGGGCAAAAATAATTCTGTATAAAGTAGTGCAAGAAAAGTAACCTGGAAAAAGGTGAAGCGAAGTAAAAAGGCCTTGCATCCGGGCAGTTTTTAAACTCCCCCAAAAAGGAGTAGCCTGCGTCTGAACACCATTAATGTCCACTATGAAACTACTCAGTGGGTAAGGCTAGTGAATGCAACATAGAAACGTGTATAGAGATGGCGATTATCAGTACAATTCAGTTTTGTTAACCGGTTGTGACCTTCGAACCATCAGAATATTCTACATTTGAATGTTAAATTCTCCACAGTTTATAGGCTTTGACTATAAAGCAAACTAACCAAAGGTTTCTATGTTAGTTTTTCCACTGTGAACTGCTCTGAGTATTTTCTACTTTGTTCAGAGAAAATTAAGTACATATAAAAGTGTTTCTCACCTTAAAGGTGCTTGGACACATATTTGAAGTTAATATTTTCTCAAATTTTCTCTGTAATTTCATGACTTATATGTTGCTATAGCATTTCTTACTAAAATATAATAAAAATCTTATTTTTTCTCGAAGTTATTAAGTTATTAAAACTTCTAATTTCTGGACGCGTTGGATTGACACATCCTTGCGCTTTCACATATTTTAATTCTTAATACTTAAGAAAAGTGGCAATTTTGTTGTGTATTAATGAAAAATATTAAAACTATAACCCAGAAAATTCAGAGTAGAAATGTTCGAAAGCAGAACCCACTCACAGTATTGTAAATCCGTGCTCAGTGGTGTGTGCAGAGTTTAACAATTGAACACACCCGGTGAATCGTAAACATTAACAATAACAGAGCTCGTGCCCTGTTACAAAAACAGTTTACGTTTCACGGGTGTGTTCAATTTGTTAAACTCTGTACATATCACAGAGCACGGACTGACAATACTGGTAAGTTGGTTTTGCTTTCGAACATTTCTTCTCTGAATTTTCTGGATTATAGATGCAATATTTTTCATTAATACATAACAAAATCGCTTCTTTTCTTAAATATTAAGGATAAAGTTAAAATTTGTGTAGGTGCAAAGATGTGTTAATCAAACGCGTCACGGAATTCGTAGTTCCAATAATTTCCAGATAAAATAAGTTTTTAATTATATTTTCGTGTGAAATGCTATTTCAATATATAAGTCGGGATATTATATAGAAAATTTGAGCAAATATTAAGTTCAGATCTGTGTCTAAGCACCTTTAACACTCGAACCTTTTACACCCAAAATCCTAACTTACACTCTTTGCAGAGACCCTACATTATACTCGCAGAATGTTTTATTTCATCATGAAATCTTTTATTTGACAGATAAAATGTGGGCGCTGACTCTGTTGTACGCAGTGGTTCTTGGCACGTTGTTGAATACCGCTGTGTATGGTACCAAAACCAACTTTGGAGACCATCCCTCGGCTCAAGGGTTCCGCCATAAACCGTTATCTACGGCACAGTACCTGGGACTTCAAAACTTATTTAGTACTTACAACAAACGAATGCCATTCAGCATGGACAGCCGCGCCTTCGACATAGACATGGACCGTTACAACAAATTTATGGATTGGAGAACTCTGTTTGGAAAGAGAAGTTTTGCTGGTGCGGATAAAAACGGATTCCAAGACACGGAAAGTCCATTTAAGGCATATTATCAAAATTGGCGTGATGGTTTCTTGTCTCCGAAGAAGAACAACAGGAAGTAGAGCTGGCCTCTCTGTCTTTAAGTTATTGATTTGACATCTGTCAGCTTCTGATGGCTTTATTGAAATCTCTCCTCATTTCGTTTTTGTTTTACATCAATGACATCAACTCTAGTAATGGCCTATTGAGTTCTTTTAAATTAAGTCACAAAGAACGGGATTTTTTTCGATAAATCGTGACTTTAGAAACCTATTTGGAATACTATGTTAATGGACCTTTACAGTTTTTAAGTCGATTTTTGAATAATTTTTATGTGTGAAAAGTGCATTAAAGTTTTATTTTTTAAGTATCGATGCCGTCGCTATGTTTATGAATCATTAATGTTAGGAACTGACTGTTTCTTCAGAGGCTCGCGGGCTACACCACTCACCTAACATACTGTACAATCTTTCTACAAGGCCTCAAATTTAAGTCAAATATCAAATACAATAATGATTGCTTGCAAGCAACTTCACCATATTGTTCGGAAAAATAAATATTTTTCTATTCGGAACTATTGTTCTTACTGCAACCACATCCAACCTTCAATCTGTTTAAAATCAGATCTTTTTTACGCTCCGAAATTCTGATGGTCTCTATACACGTGACCCTCATTGGGGTGTCTTCAGATCTTTGTACAGCAACCATCAGAATTTCGGTGCGTAACAAAGATCTGATTTTAATCAGATTGATCCCACCGTCTTTCTACATTTTGCACTTTCTAATCAGATCCTAGTCCCTGGGGTCATGACTTCAACACATTTGAGTTTGTACCGTATGAAAATAGTCAGACGGTCGATTTCTGTAGGTTTGAATTAAGTTAATCAAAAGTTTGTATTTAAAGTTACATAATGAGTCAAAATCATGTGTTTGTTTGAAGACAATTGTATCATAAAACAAAAGATTTATGTGAAATATGAACAAAGCGAAGTCTTGACAACTCAATTGCACTGTAGAGCAAGAAAAGAACTGCAAAATGCAAGTGTCGGAAAAACAAAGGTTGCATCTATCGCTTAGTTGTTATCGTCAATATCAACAATGTCAAGGTCACGCGTTCTTTTATTCTTAGCGTGAAACTTGTAAACAACATTGAACTGGAGCAAGCAAAGGTGAGGAATAAGTTCTGATCATCTTTATTGAAGATTGTATGAAAATCCTCGGTTATCCGACATTTGTATCTATGGAATTGGCACCATGGTAAATTCTTCAATTTTTCTGCGCATGCGTAGAATAAAAAGGAAAAAGTAAAGCAATACTTTTGTGTGGGGGCAAACAAAAATTATCTTTACTTTTATTTTTCTCCATAAAAGTTGATTTTTTAGGTTCTGAAACGTGTAATTTTCTGCAACCTAGTATCTTCAAGAATAGAACAAAATTTGCATGTGTCATGCAAAAATTCTTTTTTTGTCAATTTTCCCCTTTTTCCCTCACAGTGTCTATTTTAAGTAATGTGTATTTCAGTTTAAAAAGTTCATTAGGGTATGACCTGATAATCTTCATACAGGCATATTTCTTGAAGTGAAGGGGGAAAAAATGAATAAAAATGTGGAGTTATTCAAATGAGCCTCAGGCTTCGGGGCTTCCTGGAAAACTAGCCAATTTCCCTTGCACAGTTGTCGTTCGTTCCTTTCTCAAAAACCTCTGCAATGGGCTTGCGTCAAGATTTGACATTGTAAGGTAAAAAAAAAAAAAATCCCAAGGATTATTTCCAATTAAACTTATAGTTCTAGATCTACTTAGTAAATATCTACCTTAAAAATCGAGTTTCTTTAACATAAATATATGTACAATTTTTTTTCCGATAAGAGATACATTTAACCTTCTAACACCAAAATGTAACGGATAAACCTCCCCTCCCCCCCCCCCCCCCAAACACTTTCTTTCCTTTCGATAACCTCAGTAATGGTGGATCTTCGGGGCAGCGTTGGAGATTGTAGCAGCTACTAAATCATCTAATCTAATGAATGCACCGTATGATAGTGTAAATGGCTAACGGTTAGTAGCTCACCGTTCACAATTATGGTTCTGCTTGAGCTACATGTACGTGGCCTCTATGATCTTGAACACAGTCCTAATATGCAGTTACAAAACATGTACATCTAAGCTTTTGAGAGTAAAAAACATATTTAGCTGTTCATATGGCATGATACACATTAAAAACCAAAATTAAATCACGTTTCTGTGAATAATTTATTGTTCTTAGCAGAGAAATTTACATCACGTATCTCCAAAACAAAAATAACGCTGGCAAGCAGAAACTGGCATAAAAAAAACGCCAGATACGGAGTACTGTATAGATTAACTAAGTGTTCAAATACATCCAGTTGGAGACCCTTTACTTCAGAATAACAGAGACAATCATAGGTGTTCATAAAAGCGTGATTCTGACCGCAAAAATCAGTGGCAAAAACAAAATAATTAATTGGATAGCACTATGAAAATGAATCAAAAATCTTAGCAGGCAAATACCAATGTTTTTTAACTGAATAAATATATTTACTTCACATCTATTAATTTTGAGTCTAATTAAGAATCTATCGCAAGTTATTTTGTATTTTTTTTCTACAGAATTATTTAAATAAATAAGTCCCAACAAAGTACATGTGCATATATGATTTTGCAATGTGTGTGTGTGTGTTTGTGTATGTTTCTGTGTACCTAAATATACGAATGAAGACATTCTCCCGTTTACATACCCAGCTTTTGTAACAGAGCATCAAAGCAGATCATGGTTTGCAGCGCGTCATCAATCCTGAGAATTATAAATTATTGCACTAACTATAAAGTCAGTATACAGTGACAATACAATACTTTTTTTGACATCAAAATCAAATGTCATAACAAAACTGTGTTACAAAGCATTATAATCAGCTATACACAATACATTAATGAGAGGCATGGGGTAGAGTTCCTCAGAAATACAATGTTACATATATTATAGTATCATCAATAATAAGCTCCTTGATGTAATTCTTGTATTCCATTAGATATCCACTTATATATAATGCATTAACAAGCACTAAACCACGAGGACATGTAACCTTCTACTGCTTGATTTTATGCCATCACTATACATACAAATACTTACAAGAGGTATAGTGATCAAGTAAACTCAAACATACTATGTTACAGTCCCTGTGTATTAAACATACAATATTACACCATAAAACACAAAAAGGAATGGATTCAATACAGTATAGCTTGAAAATACATGAATTTTAGATGTAAAACAGTACAGATTACTTTATTCTACAATACAATACAATATCTTAATTCAAGTATAGAAACTTGTACATACTCCATGGCTTCGTATGATTTTTTTCTAAACTTATCCAAACTTCAAGGCAATAAGTATTTATAGTATCACTTCCTATCAATTTATCTAATGAATCAATTAAATTATCTCCTATAAAAACTAAAAAAAATATTCAAAAAAATTTCAAAAACCACCAATCTCAAAATTAGGTCATTTAACTTGGTTTCAAATTCCATGTAGACTTTTCATATAGCATTGGTTTTTGTAAGTTACAGCTCAAACTACAATAAATTAGCAGATGTGAATTAAAATCTATATTCCACCTATGATTAGACGGACAGATGAACAGACAATGAAGCTCCTGAACACAAAACATCCATTTCACCCTTTTCCAGCAAAGCTTTTTTCCACACAGACTACCCACAGCAAAATCTATACCTACATATACACACAGAATGAAAGACTTCACTTTTGCAAATTAAACTGGAAGAAACGTAACAACAAAACATCCCACCTACGAAATAAACATTTTAATACAACATAAACACCACTCTTCAAATTTCCCTTGCTGATCAATTTCATCTCTAACTCATTTCAATCCTCAATTCAAAATTAATTTTATTTTGGAAAATAGCATATAAAACATTTTTCCCAGACAACTGTTTTTGACAGACATTTGGTGATATGCAGCTCAAACATAATTGTAAAGATAAGACAATAATTCCATTCATCTTTAGTTATCTTGTACACCAATATATTGAATACAAAATTGACTCTTCAACACTTCAGTTCAGAGATGTTACAAAATGACTGATATCTTGATCCCTTCAAGTTTTTTTTTTTGGGGGGGGGGGGGGGATACCATATTCAAGATATTCGGGATAGACTGTAATTTAAACCAGGAAAAGTCACTTTAACCCCTCTCTTTAAATTCCTAAGCTTTAAGGTACATCTACCAACTGATAAGAGAGATAACTCTCACTGGATATTTGACTATTTATTCCTTTATAAAATTGTTAAGTTTAAAGACTACTTCTATCAAATTTTGTTCCTCAAGGTATGCTGAAGTTGTGAGCATTTCTACTTAAGATAAGATTTCTTTTGGAAAATCATTAGCAATGAAGCAAAATTTACTATGAGTGAACAGAGAGGACGAGGAACCTTAGGTGTATAGAGCCCCACGTAGACGACCTAGTTTTAAACCAGTAGCCTGTAAATCTGGTCATAAACACATACATCTCATACTTTTATTACCGCCTTTCTAGCGAAACACAGTATAGCTGCAGGCAGTACATTCCCCTTTATTAACACCTAACCTTTCCTTCTTTAGGGGATCTTTTTTTCCCTTCCATTATAAAGTATACATATTCTCCCTTTGTTGACACACCCACCAGCTGTTGGAATATCAAACAATTCACCACTGACACATCCCTAAATCAGAAAAGGAAAGCCAGAGGAAGAAATGGCTGCAGGAAAACCACCACCATCATTTCTATACTTCATCATTTTACACACTTGATTCCTCCTTTGTTTCTTCATCGTCTCTGACACACTAATTATGACTCAGGAGATCTACCAAACCAACATTTGTTTCTTCATCGTCTCTGACACACTAATTATGACTCAGGAGATCTACCAAACCAACATTTTTTTCTTCATCGTCTCTGACATACTAATGGAGATTTTGACATGCTAATGAGATCTTGTAAATGCACCTTAAGACAATCCTTTAGCCTACAGACCTAATTTTGACATTTAACACTCAATGACTTCAAACTCAGTCATTAATTTCTACATCTAAAACTGTACAATGCTTTAACTGGCATTGCTCTCTCTTAACAAACTATGAGTTTTGGACAACACTACTTTCTGACTTCTAGCCAATATTCTCACACAAATCATCACAGCCAAAAGAATTTTAACATTAAACACTGTTATTATCTCCATGGTCCTCCTCACATTCTTGTGATAAAGGACACAAACAACCCTACAGCATCATAATATACTGCATGGATTAGTTTTTTTTTCGGTCACTGAATTTGCTTGGACGAGTAAAAGAAATAAAGTTGCAAAAATGGCACCCCCCCCCCATTGAAATTTACCTGTTAAAATGTACAAAAAATTATCAAATTTCAAACCTGGGTAGTTCTGCTTGACAGACCAGAAAATGCCATTTCCACTCTCTTCAAAAAAGTAGATACATATTCACATTATCAAACATACAAATTTTTTTCTGTACCACAGTACTAACACATTCAATAAATAAGGTATACATTGTTTGCCTCTTACAATGTAGGATTCTACAAAATCAAGTTAAAATCAAACATCAGCTAGGCTGAACTATCAAAAAGAATGACAAAACAAAAACTACTGAACACAGTTATGTACATGTTTAGTAAGCGTTTCTGCTAAGTAAGACTTATGCTGTTTGTTTCCACATAATCGACTCGTCATTCTACTTGAATGTAAGAAACTAATAAATTAAAAAGTAATGATGCCACTTACAATTTTAGATGAAACTAATTTTTCTTTCTTAAACATAAAAAGTTCCCTTTCACCCCCTTTTTTATATATTCATATTTTTATATATATATATATTTTCTTCATTTTTATGTACCAGATGACATCTACAGTACATAATGCAATCTAACAAGGATTTCTAAGTCAGAAAACAACTAATTCTGTGTAAACACTTACAAATCAGCACAATGTTTAGTATTAAGACTGACTGATAATGCTGAAGCCGAGGTGAAAATAACACAACACAATGCTCGGAACACTGAAAACAAGGCATATGATGTCTAGTTATTGACCTTGACCTTTGACCTAAGGTCAGTGTGCAACAACATCTAAGCATGAAGTTTGCCCATTTTCCCCGTATTTATAGAATGTTTTTGTTCACAACAAAGGAAATTTCTTCTTCTAAAGTTTATCACACAATATTGTCAACACCTGGAAAAAGATAGATGAAATGATTAACAAAGGTTTACAGACATCATCCTTCACAGAGAAAGTAGTGGTATATTTTGTGTATCTTTAACTTTTTCCAGTCCATAAAAAACAAATAACAGGAGAGTAAAATACCATAAACCAACTTTCATTTGAAATATATTGCAAACCGACAAATCGCGAATAAAAGTTGTCATGAATATTAGTTGGTTGACAGTATCAAATGTAAGGTTAAAATCTATAATTAACTAAAACACTTACATACATTAAGCCTGTGACTCCGTCTCCATTTTTGGTTTGATGGGGGTGGGGCCGTTCATGCCCCCACCTCCCCCTCGTATCCCTGTTGATCCCGGTGAAGCTGCTGGAGCATGACCAGCGCGTATAGGTTTTGCTGGAAAACATGAAAACACAACTCAAATACTACAGATAATGCCTGGGTATCATTCAAACATTTCTTTTTGAAGTTTCTCTACTAAAATATAAATATTTTCATATGGAAAAACTATGGAATTGCCCTTTTATTTAGTATTCTATAAAACTGAAAAACAATAATTATAATTTTCACATATTTCAGCAAAAGAAAAATTAATTTAGATTAACATGCATTCATTTGAGTTTTAAGTGCTTGTACTAAGTGATCAAACATGAACTCACCAATCTGTGCATGTGCCGCGTGACCACGTCTGGCCAAGTTCTTTTGGCGGACAGCTTCCTTAATCCTGTCTACCTCATGTTGATATCTGTCAATATACATCAAACAAATTCTGTTAATATACATCAAACAGATTACTAATCACCTACACTTACCTTTATAAATAAATTTAACTTCATCCTATCCTAGATAACTAACTACCTTCCTCTTTCCGATGATTTAGTTCATTTCTCTATATTTTCTAACATACGAGTTCATCTTGCAGTCTCTTCATTTTATCCCTCCACAGAAGCTTACATCCTTTCTTCTCCTTCCTCTAATTTTACTCAAACCTCTGACCACAACCTTTTATCACCAACTCTTTATTTAACTAGTCTTCCCATCTAATGTTAATTTTTCCTTTCCCACACTTCCCCAATGTTTTTCCATGATTTCTTAAATCCAAACTAACCTACCTCTTATCTATGCATTTTTCATCTCCTAAAATTTACTATAAAACCTTGTCTTTTAACATATAACCTCAAATTTCCCACAATTCCCTTCCAACTCCTTCTAGCTGTCTTTCCTATTTACAATTAATGCATGTCATCTCTTCATCCATCACTTTCCAACTTATTCTCCAACATTGACAAAACCCAAAATTTCCCACCTTATTCTCTAACATTGCCATTACCCACAATTCCCCACCTTATTCTCTAACATTATTACCCACAATTCCCTACCTCTTCCTGTCTCTCATGGCTCCTTCCTTTGCCTCTTTTAGAGCTGTCTCCAGTGACTTTGTTCTCTCCATGGTGGCCCTCAGTCTCTTCTCCAGTTTAGGCAGCTCACATCTCAGATCAGCATTGTCACGCACAAGCTGGAATTAAATAATGAACCTTTCATCCTGATATGCCATATTTCTGTTTGATTTACATCAAACTTTTTGGTCTTCATTTTGATACAGTAAAATAAATTTTTCTAAATCTCTATGAAATTAAAAAAACAAACAAAAAATTCATACCCTTCTGTGTGAAATCTTACTTTTATTATAGTGAAATCACTCAATTTTTATGGGGGTTTAATTTCCATTGTTTTTGTGGTATGTAGAGACCCATGAATTCTTGTCCTCCACAAAATTTTAAATTTCAAATACGTAACTACTCAACACTTCTTCAACCATAAATTCAACTCCTCCCCCCAAAGATTTCTTCCTCAAACCAATAAAAATTGACACCACAAAAATATGTGATTCTACAATAATTTTCTCAGTCCTTCCATAATTTTATAATTATACTGTTTTTCACCTGTTTTCATTTTCTGAGAACTTTGACCCTAGCCTAAGCCTACAATAACCTTTGCTCACCTGTTTGTGGACTTTGGTCAGTTGTTCTAGATTGTTCTCTAGGAATGATATTTTCTGTTTCTGTGCCATGCTTCCTCCTATATCATCCTCTTCCTCATCATCCTTCTTATTGGCTGACTGTAAAAGATTTAATGTAACAAGTGTTACTATTGGCTGACTGTAAACAGAATCATTGTAACAAGCATTATTATTGGCTGACTGTAACAAAATCATTGTAACAAGAATTACTATTGTCTGATTGTAACAAAATCATTGTAACAAGAATTGCTATTGCCTGATCATAATACATGTAACAAGCAGTACTATTGGTTAATTCTAACAAAATAAATGTTACAAACATTGCCATTGGTTGACAATAAAATAAATGAAAGGAGCATTACTACTGGTTGACTCTTACAAAAGAAAGAGTATAACTCTTTTACATTCTATAAGCAGGTGGCTTCTTTATTGGTAGATTGAAAATCAAGAATAAAAGCACTGCCTTTCAATTACTGAATTTCACAAGAAATATGAAAGTCACTGTATAAGGAATGGTCATGTGTTTAAGATTTCAAAATTCAAGCTAAAAGCATTATTTATGCCTGATTATTTTTCAATTAATTTGACAATACATCTTTATCGTGCATATCATTGTTAATAATTCTTAATAAAACTACATCTTCTACACAAATAAAAGTAGTTCTGCTCAACAAATTACTAAAAATAAACACACACAGAATTTCTTTTCCTTTTAGAAGCCTACCCTATACTGATTAGAAGACTTAGTCTAGCCTAGCCTATACTGATTAGAAGTCTAGCCTATACTGATTAGAATTCTAGCCTATACTGATTAGAAGACTTGGTCTAGCCTAGCCTATTAGAATTCTAGCCTATACTGACCTTTTTGACTCTGTTCTGTAAGTCTTGTACAAACAGTTTCCTCAAGTTGTGAAGAGTCTGTAACTCTTTGGCCTGAATTAAGGAAAACAAAGCACATTTGTAACATGTAAAGTTTTATTGCACTCATTCACTCTGTATTTGAATATCTTTCCAGCTAAGATTTCACTATTACAATTAAAGATTTATGAGGACATGTGCACCTTTTGTTGTTACAATAACAATAATTTACAATAATTATTAACAACTTTTTGTTGTTAAATAACTAATATTTACATTTCCAATAAATTTCCCCTATGATTCTTACAAAATAGAATACAGTTCATTTTCTCATGAACTACCATGAATATCTCCATTGTTACGTCATAATACCTTATGTGACGTCAAAACTAAAGTGCAAACTGTTTTGCTTTAAAAATGACAGTTGAACATTTTTATTTGAGGCAAATCGTCAGAAAAATAATGTAAATATAAGAAAAGAATTTAATTTTTGAAAATTCATGAAGTACATGAATTACAACGCTTCACGCCGGAATATTTATCATGAAACGCCAATGCATTTCATGAAATATGCCGGCGTGAAGCGTCGTAGTTCATGTCCTCATGAATATTCAAATTTAAATTATTAAATTCATTTCTTAATTGTCTTCTCAAAGTCCTGCCAAACCTACATTACTGTTGTATTTCCTTACACTTCCTGTATTTTACTGACTGGCCTATTCTCAAAGTCATTCATCAGTGACAGTTTACTTACCACCGTCTCCTCGAGGCCTTTGAGGTCCTGTTTGGCCTGCTCTCGTCGGTCATTCATTAGCGAGAGTTCCTGTAGTTTCTGAGATTTTTCTGTTTCCTCTGTCTTCAGTTTGTCATAATCAGCCTGAAGTTTCTCCAGTGCCAGACTCAACTTTTGGTTTGTACTGTAAAGAAGACAAATGGTAACTTATTGTACTAAACAATTTATATATATTTTTTTTCAAGATAATCTTTAATTTAATACAGAATGATGAACCTGCATAATTAATATCCTGTTTTAACAAGGTGAATATGTTCTTTCTTGTAAATTTCATTCTCTAATCTGATCTATGAGATAACCTCTCTTTGAGCTGGTCTATTAGGCTCTGTTTTTCAGCCACCTCCTCTCGGAGTTCAGGGATGTTTAGCCACCTCTCGGAGCTCGGCGAGATGTTTGTACTTACTCTATAAGCTGATCTGTGAGATACATACTCTTTGAGCTGGTCTATCAGACTCTGTTTTTCAGCCACCTCCTATCTGAACTTGGTGAGAAGTTTGTATCAACTCTTTTATATGATGTATGAGATACATACTCTTTGAGCTGATCTATTAGGCTCTGTTTTTCAGCCACTTCCTCTCTGAGCTCGGCGAGATGTTTGGCCACCTCTCTGAGATATTTGTACTTACTCTGTAAACTGATCTATGAGATACTCACTCTTTGAGCTGGTCTATCATACTCTGTTTTTCAGCCACCTCCTCTCTGAGCTCAGCGAGATGTTTGGCCACCTCTCTGAGATGTTTGTACTTACTCTGTAAACTGATCTATGAGATACTCACTCTTTGAGCTGGTCTATCAGACTCTGCTTCTCAGCCACCTCCTCTCTGAGCTCGGCGAGATGTTTGGCGTGCTGTTCTCGGTGTTGTTCCATCTGTTTCTCCAGAGATTCCTTCATGGCTGATATATTTTGGACTCGATCGGATGCTTCCTTTTCCCTCTCTGAGACTGAGCTCAAATGCATTTTTTCTGTAAAATATAAATGTACATGTAAATGTTTGACTTTTGAGTAAAACTGCGTATCTTTTGTTAAAATCTACAATTTATGAAAGATAATACAGGCTGGCAAAAAGAAAAAACACATTTTTCTGCATCTTCATCTGTTTGAAAAGATGCCTAGTCAAATTGTTTAACTAAAACATCCCACATAATTCAATTTAACATTTAAATACTGTATACTGCCATGCCCCTCTTAAAGTACTGTAACACCAGAACTCAACAAAAATCTGTGTAGAGAAGTGTCAAATTAAATCTATTCCTGTCTGTGCCTATAGTAGGAGCCTCCATATAAACACTTTCCGAGAGAACCCTCATAATCATGAGGGTAAAACAAATGAGGCCGAGATAAAATATCTGTATTTCTCCTTACCCTCCATTTTGAGCATCTCTACTTGATCATTGAGGGAGTCCACTGTTTCCTGGAGCTGCTTCTTCTTGTTATCAATGTCTTTAATTGTTTCATTCAGTGTTGACATCTTAGCTTCATACTGTTGATACAGATAAATTGATTAAAGTTGAAATTATCTGAACAAGAAAACTTAAGCTATTTTTGAGTTCCGGTCACGTGATGGTCTATGACTGACCAAAAATTTTAGGCTCCGCTGTTTATTTCCTAAACCTTGTTTCTCTTTGGTTTTAAGTGTGTCAAATGCTGTGTAAAGGAGTTTAATACTCAATCTGGTGAGTTTTACATTAACTTTTGGCTTACTGTAACGTATACAAGTGGACTATTTAAATTAAGACATTGTTCATTGTTCAGTCATTGTGAACACGTATTCACTCACGTATTCACCCACAATGGATAAAACGGGATCCAGCAAAAAAACTCCAGACAAAGAACAAACAAAAACAAAAAAATTAGTGCAGCTAGATTTAAAAGCGGCACCTATGTCTATAAGAAAATCTATTGTTTCTGAGAAGGCCGCGGCGAAAAAACCAAGGACTAGTAGCGGAGATCAACCCCCCAATCAAGACAATAGTCAATCAGAACAAAATGAAATTGCTTACGATCTGAAACAAATTCAGGACAGTCTAACTGAGATCAGAGAATCTATGGTTAAGAAATCGGATGTAAAACTTATAGTCTCAGAAATTTTGTTAGAACTGAAAAATGAGCTGAAAGGCGAGATAAAAAAAGAAATTATTTCAGAGATGAAACAAGATTTTGAAAAAGAAATTAAAAGCAAAGTAAAGGAAGAATTAGAGGAGAAAATAGAGAAAAATGTAAAGAAATCCAAACACAAACAAAAGAGATTTCAGACGGATTTAATCTTGATTTCGACACTCTTCGAGAAAAACTCAGTGTACAGGCAAGTGAAATGAGATCTATGAAGGAACGACTAAAAAAATGTGAATTTATAGCTGGATCTGCAATAACCCTCGCAAATCAAAATCAACAGTACTCCCAAAAGAGTAACATAAAATTCATAAATTGGGCAGAGGAGAAAAATGAAAATCTTAAACAACGGCTGTGCACAACACTCAAGGAAGTGGTGGACGTTGACCTTAACCCCGCAGATGTCCTGGAGATCCATCGGATTCCCGGGGGAGATGGAAAAGGACCACGTCCTGTGATCGCAAAATTTAGAAACAACGACATCAAGTTCATGGTCATCAAAAACAGATCTGATAAAAATCTAAAAGACATCTTCACCATGTACGACCACCTAACGCAAATGAATGCCAAATTAGTGCGCGACTTGAACGGTGATCCGCGAATTCACAGTGCTTGGTACTATAATGGGAAAGTCTTTGGTCTAGACGAAGAAGGAAATCGCCATAAATTTGATATTCTGGACAATGTGTCCGAAAAATTGAAAAGACACTGAATACTGTGAATATGCAGCGGAGCGGACTTTGTTGCGAGATCGGGAAACCTTCTGACTGTGAGATCGGGCTCGCTATTCTATTTATATCATGTTTACTTTTTGTGTAAGTGTGTCGGTGAGTGTGTGCATGTTCCCCCGGTTTTCTATTATGTGTTTTGATTATCAAGAAAGATGGTGCTCATCACTGTTTATGATTTTTTTTTTACCGATTTTTCTAAATTCCTACAAACTAAATAAGTGGCTCAATTAAAATAGCAACGGTGAATTGTCAAGGCTTGGCAACAGGTACCAAAAGACAGGATGTTTTAAATTATTATAAGAAAAAAGGTTATTCAATTCTCTGTATTCAAGATACTCACTTTACAAAAGAAATAGAACCTTACGTTGAAACACAATGGGCATATAAATGTATTTTCAATTCGTACAAGTCAAACTCTAGAGGGGTATGCATCCTCTTTAATAACAATTTTGAATTTCAGATCCACAGAGAGAAACAGGACGATAATGGTAATCTATTAGCTCTCGATATGACAATCGAGGATAATAAAGTTACTTTAATTAATATCTATGGACCAAACACTGATAATCCAGAGTTTTATGAGTTGGTAAGAAAGACATTTTTAGAATTTGACAATGATTATTTTATATTATGTGGTGATTTTAATCTGGCTCTTGACCCTTCAATAGACACAGAAAATTATTGTAACATTAACAATCCAAAGGCGAGAGAAAAACTTTTAGAAATTATAAATGATCTACAAATAATTGACTACTTCAGGATATTGAATCCAAATTTAAAAATGTTTACATGGCGAAAGAAAAATCCAGTAAAACAAGGACGATTAGACTATATTTTTATTTCTGAAAATATGTGTAATTTGGTTGAAAATTTAGCAATTAAACCAGGGTACAGATCAGACCACTCTTCGGTGGTTCTTGATATGAAATTTAATACATTTAAAAAAGGGAAAGGTGTCTGGAAATTTAACAACTCTTTACTTGCAGACAATGCATATGTTGGCAAGGTTAAAGAAACAATAGAGTCTGTTAGAAACCAATATGAAAAGAATAATGTGCTTAAAGAAGATATGAATTACAGTACATTTTTTGAAGTCCTTCTAATGGAGATTAGGGGAATAACTATCTCATATTCGTCATATAGAAAAAAAGAAAAAAATAAAGAAGAAGCCTTGTTAATTGCACAAATAGAACAATTAGAGGCAGAGAATATATTGAATCTACAATTAATAGAGGAGAAAAAAACAAGTCTTGAGAATTTGAGAAAAGAAAAGTTACAAGGTCATGTTATAAGGTCTCGAGCCAGATGGGTTGAAGATGGAGAAAAACCATCTCAATATTTTTGCAAACTGGAATCCCGCAATTATTTGAATAAGATTATCAAAAAAGTCAAAACAGAGGAAAATGAAATCATTTACAATCAGTCAGAAATTTTAAATAGAATCAGGATGTATTACAAATCTCTTTATACTTCTGAAGATGCAGAACTTCTCAATATAGATCTTGCAGATATTATTACAATTAGTGAGGTTCCAAAACTTGAAAGCCATGTTGCCAATACACTTGAGGGAAATATATTAGAAAATGAAGTCTTACAGGTGTTAAGAAACATGAAAAACAATAAGTCACCAGGAAGTGATGGTTTCACTGCTGAATTTTTTAAATTTTTTTGGTCAGATTTGAAACATTTCATAGTACTTGCCATAAATGACATATTTCAGAAAAAAGAACTTCCTATTTCTCAAAGACTAGGAATAATTACATGTTTACCAAAAGGTGATAAGCCAATAGAATTTCTGAAAAATTGGCGGCCTATTACTCTTTTAAATGTGTTTTACAAACTTTTATCGGGTTGTATTAGCTATAGAATAAGATTCACCCTGGACAATATTATATCAAATACTCAGCTTGGATTTTTAAAAGGAAGATATATAGGTGAAAATACCAGATTTCTTTATGATCTTATGGCTTTTACTGAATCTAGAAATATACCTGGATTACTTGTACTTATAGACTTTGAAAAGGCTTTTGATTCAATATCCTGGACCTTTGTGTATAAAGTATTAAAATTTTTTGGGTTTGGTAAAAACATTATTGAATGGGTAAAAATTCTAAATACAAAATTTTGTGCATCTGTACTTCAATGTGGATTTTTATCTGAACAGTTTAATATCCAAAGAGGATGTCGTCAGGGAGATCCCGTGGCACCATATCTGTTTCTTCTTTGTGCAGAAATTCTTGCAATTATGATTAAACAAAATCAAAGTATTAAAGGAATTGTAATTAACAAGACAGAACATAAAATATCCCAATATGCAGATGATACCTGGCTTGCCCTTGATGGTTCACCTGAATCACTTTTTGCAGCATTAGATACAATTGATCTTTTTTCAAAGTTTACAGGACTTAAAATTAACAGCTCAAAAACTAAAATTGTTTGGATAGGTTCAAAAAAATTCTCAAATCAAGTTTTTCATCATTCTCGTTGGAAACTTGAATGGGGTTGCACAACTTTTAATTTACTTGGAATTAATTTTTCAGTAGAACTGGATAAAATTACTGATATAAACTATAATGTTCAAATACCAAAAATCAAAGCATTAATTCAACAATGGAAAAGAAGGATTCTTACTCCTATTGGAAGAGTCACAGTTCTGAAAACATTAATCTTACCAAAACTGAACCATCTTTTTATATCTTTACCAAATCCAAGTAAAGAAATTTTATCATTATTGAACAGAGAAATCTTTGAGTTTATATGGAAATCAAAATGTGATAAAGTAAAAAGAAAAATTATTACTCAAGATTTTTTACAAGGAGGATTAAAAATGTTGGATATAAAAAGCTTTATCATATCTCTTAAATGCTCTTGGATTAAAAGATTAACAAAAAGTAATCAACCATGGTTTGATATTTTTTTGGCAATAAATGGTGATGACGTATTGTGTAAACTTTTTGATTTTGGTGAAGAGTTTGTGTCTTGTCTTATTCTAAAAAATAATGATTTTTGGAAAGATGTGTTTAATTCATGGGTATGTTTCATGAAGATGCTCAATAACAATTCATATATGAAAACTAGGTATCTAAATTTACCTGTCTGGTACAATCCCAATATAAAAATGGGAAACAAAATAATTTTTGTAAAGACCTGGTATAAAAATGGTGTTAAAAGTGTTTGTGATTTCTTAAACGATGAAGGAAATTTTTTAACTCTCATTGACTTTGAAAATAGATTTCATTTGTCTAAAGTTTGCATTATGCAATACAATAGTATTTTATGTGCTATATCCAGGTATTTAAAAACAGTGTGTATAGATAAATCATCTGTTAAGAGGGAATGTACCCCTTTTATTCCTTTTTACTATGAAAATATTATTGTATATGAAAAGTGCACTAAAATAATTTACAGATATTTGAATAGTAACAATGTCAATCCTACGTCTATATTTCGATGGAACCAGGAGCTATCAGTGTTTTTAGAATCTGATATTTGTGTTCAAGATGTTTTTAAGGTTTGTTTTAGAACAACTATGGATACTTCCGTTCAATGGTTACAATATAGAATCCTTCATAGAATCCTTCCAGTGAAATATTATTTGAAGAAAATAAATATTTTATCTGATGACCACTGTACTTTTTGTAAACAGGAGATAGAAACTATGCAACATATATTTTTGAATTGCACAAAAATCTCTTTATTGTGGAGTAACCTTAGTATGCACATTTTTACAAAAACTTCCAAAAGAATTGGGTTTAACATATGTAATATTATTTTTGGTGAAACTCCATTATCTTATCATAATAGGGTGATAAATTTTATTATTCTATATACAAAGCAATATATCTTTTCCTGCTTGAAACAGAACAAAATACCTATGATTACTGGGCTGCTTCATCATTTAACTCTTATGTACAAAGTAGAAAAACGCATATCAATTCAAAAATTTGCAATGAACAATTTTGAAAACTTATGGTCACCATGGATTAATATTTTTGAGTTATAAACATTTATTAAAACACCAACAGTAACCATTTTTCAAATGGAATACTATAGCTCATTGATAAATTTTTTATTTATTATTTCATTCTTGTTAAAACTAGAGAGGGGAAGTGTGAATGTGTGAGAGAATGTGAGAAAAATTTCATTATGTAATTTGATATGTCACTCTTTGAAATAATAATAATAAAAAAAAAAAAAAAAAAAAAAAAAAAAAAAAACTTAAGCTATTTTTTTTTCTTACGAGTTTGTTTCATATTTGTTGATCAAGGATCAGTCTAAATTCATTCTATGTTTTAAGTCATTTTCTTTAAGAATGTCCTGCAGCATATAATTTAATCTTGTCAAACACCATTCAAATCCATCATAAGACATTTAATATAATGTTGTCATAAAACAATGAAACTCAATACACAATGAAAAATTATACAACGACATATAAGTTTATCATAAGACATTCAACTTTATTATATTAAGACATTCAAGTGCAATTTAACATTACAATACAAGTTTATCATAAAAAAAAAATCCAACTTTACATGACTTACCTGTTGTATTGTGAGTTTACAGTCACTAAGATCTTTCTCAACATTGCTGAGTTTACATGACTTACCTGTTGTATTGTGAGTTTACGTCACTGAGATCTTTCTCAACACTGCTGAGTTTACATGACTTACCTGTTGTATTGTGAGTTTACGTCACTGAGATCTTTCTCAACATTGCTGAGTTTACATGACTTACCTGTTGTATTGTGAGTTTACGTCACTGAGATCTTTCTCAGCACTGCTGAGTTTACATGACTTACCTGTTGTATTGTGAGTTTACGTCACTGAGATCTTTCTCAGCACTGCTGAGTTTACATGACTTACCTGTTGTATTGTGAGTTTACGTCACTGAGATCTTTCTCAGCACTGCTGAGTTTACATGACTTACCTGTTGTATTGTGAGTTTACGTCACTGAGATCTTTCTCAGCACTGCTGAGTTTACATGACTTACCTGTTGTATTGTGAGTTTACAGTCACTGAGATCTTTCTCGGCACTGCTGAGTTTCTCTTTGACCTCCGTCTCGGTCACCTCGAGCTGCTGAGATCGAGACACAAGTGTCTTGATGTCACTCTTGATCTTCGTGATGTAAATCCTGGCTACTGTGTAATCCTCCTCCAGCTTGTCAGGGCTACCCCCGCTAAACTAAAAATAGACAAATGGGAATCTCTCCAACTAAAATAAAACTGGAAATGCAATCCTCTCCTTTATAAACATTTATGTCAGAACTACAAGTAATCCTGTAAAATGCCCAATAAAAACTGGATACACAATATCTATGGCCAAAAAAATGACTGCCAATGACTGTGCACATACTTTTTATATACATGTGTATGTTGAAGTCATTGCCTCAACCTTTGTTTTCAACTGTTACATTTAATATTTTAATGATCCTTTTTTTTCTCCCTGCATGCACTTTAAGCCCATACAATTTTTCCAATTGACCCCTACCTTGAACTCGTTAGCATTGCCTCCTACAATACTTCCTATCTCTGACATATCCTTCATCAGACTACCCATAATCTCTGTCATCTTCTTCCTTTGGTGGAGAGATGAGTCCTTCATCTTCTCAAACTCTGCCTTGATGTTATCCAGCTCACTCTGCAGAAAAAATAAAATTGTTATCACAGGTGAGAAAAGTCTTAACAGAACCAGAATACAATTCATATATATATATATATATATATATATATATATATATATATATATATATATATATATATATATATATATATATATATATAGACATGAATCAGTTTATATGTGTGAGCATTTTGAGGGGATACTACATTTGAAGAATACAAAAGTTTTTTTTTGAGTTTAGATGCCATTCATTTTTATCAAATTAGCATTTGACATGTTTTAACCTCTAATTTTTATATCCTAGCTTTTGAACTGGAGCTATGTAATGTATATTTAACAGGGTGTTACATGTAAGCTTACCCTAAGTGCACACAGATGCAATATTTTGTTAAAAGTGTCGAAAAACATTTTATAAGAGTTCAAATTACTAGTGAACAATTCAAGCTAACTAGTAACTGATTGACACCTCACAGTGAACTGACCAAGCCTAGTAATGACATTATTTACAGACATAAGATTCCAGGTTTTTTTTTTACTCTTGCAGCAATTATAAACAAGAACTGTTCATAATTCAGAAAACTCTCACTGTGCAAATTGTAATTTTCTTGACTGTCTTAACCCTGTTTATGCTCTGCATAAAACAAGAACACTTAGTTATGCACCAGATTACACCCTATACAACACTGGTACATATGCACCAGTTTACACCCTATACAACATCAGTACATACGCACCAGATTACTACCTATACAACACTAGTACATACGCACCAGTTTTTGGTTCAGTTCCTCCACGATGGTCTCGTTTTCTTTGTTCTTGTTCTCGACTTCCTGAGATTTCTGGTCGTAATTCATCGCCAACTCCTCCAACGCCTGCAGGACTTCCTTCACCTGTAAATATAAACATAAAATTATAGGACATACAAATGAACACTCCTGTAGACAAAAAAAGATAATTTATAAGGAAGGGCTGTAAATAAATACATCATTAGGATAGGACTTTAAGAGGTGTATCTTTTTAACTGGAAACAATGAAGACATTTTATCACATTTTTAGATAAAACAGTTCCTATAAATCTTGTCTTAAATGCAGATATCATTTTAGAGATATTTCACGCATGGAAATAAAAGTTGATTAATGTTGAGAAATTCTATTTATAAAAATTCATCACTTGTATAAACAAGAGGCCCAAGGGCCTTAACGGTCACCTGAGTACAATACAACAATTTAGAGGATCCATAGAGTATTAAAATGAAAGGTGAAGCTTTGTTGCCCAAAAGCAAGAAAAATAGGGTGATCAGGATCAACAAAATAATTAGTCTAGTATTCATTAACAGTTTATAGATTAGGTTCTAATCTTTTCCCCATTTATCACTATTACCATAAGTATATTAAAAAAATATCAGTGCTTCTATACTATTTTAATTCCTTGTTGAAATCTCTTACATTGGCCTCTCTTGGTCTTTGATGAACATTTAATAAGACAAGTTATTTTTGTCTCATTTTTATTTATCTATTACTTACAAGTCCACCTGATCATTAAAACTATGAAAATCCTTTTTGTATTATACAATAAAAATTCTTGCATAATTCTCTTATTCTATTAACCTTTCAAGTACATTATTTACAGTGATTAATTATCAAAAGTAAACGGCAAAGGGGAATAACTCCTCTCAGTAGAATGCAAATTGAGCCCTGGCTAGCACCAGAACACTTGACCAAATGGTCCAGATGTTCAAAAATCTGGTAAAAATACCCTTCCTTATTACAACTTTTACTCTTTTTGCCTCTGATATGCCCAAGTGTAGAGAAGATTTTTAAAGAAATAATGCATTTTTCCTACAGATTCACTATCTTATCAATAGAGCCCCCCCCCCCCCCCCCTTCACCACCGAGAAACACCAGAGCCTCTCACCCTGGGACCAGAAGTTTGCTCTCCACATTAAGGAGCTCACGGGATTATTTAATAGAATTAATGCATTTTCACTATATTATCAACAGCCCCACCCTTACACCAGCACATCTGACCCAGGGGTCATGCAATTCACTACTCTGGAAGAAGCACTCTTGCTCATCATAACTATATACTTAGCTTCTCTGCTTTTTAACCAGAAGCAGAAAAGAATATTTTCAAAGAAATTTTGCTTTTTCACTATATAATCAATAGAGCCCCCCCCCCCCTTTTCACCAGAACCCTTGACCCTGGGGCCATGAAATTCATAATTTTAGAAGAGGCATCCTTGCTTATCATAACAATGTACTTAGTTTGTTTAAATAGTACCCAGGGGCAGAGAAGAAGATTTTCAAAGAAATAATTCACCTTCACTATAGGAGCTAAATAGCCCCAACCTAGCACCAGAACCCCTGTCCCTGGGGCCATGAAATTCACAATTTTGGAAGAGGCGTCCTTGCTTATCATAACAATGTACTTTGTTTGTTTAAATAATACCCAGAAGCAGAGAAGAAGATTTTTAAAGCATTAATGCATTTTCACTATATAATAAATAGAGCCCAGTCCTAACATCAGAACCCCTGACCCAGGGGCCATGAAATTCACAATTTTGGTAGAGTCACTCTTGCTTATCATAACTATGTATTTCATTTGTTTAAATAATACCCAGGAGTAGAGAAGAAGAATTTGAAAGAAATAATGCACTTTCACTATATGATCTATATAGCCCCCCCCCCCCCCCCCCCCCCAGTACCAGAACCAATGACCCTGGGGCTATGAATTTCACAATTTTGGTAGAGTCACTCTTGCTTATCACAACTATGTACAAATGTATTTAATTTGTTTTAATAATACCCAGGAGTAGAGAAGAAGATTTTCAAAGAAATAATGCACTTTCACTATATGATCTATATAGCCCCCCCCCCCACCCCCCCAAAGCACCAGAACCCCTGACCCAGGGGCCATGAATTTCACAATTTTGGAAGAGCCACTCTTGCTTATCATAACTATGTATCTAATTTGTTTAAATAATACCGGGGAGTAGAGAAGAAGATTTTCAAAGAAATAATGCACTTTCACTATATGATCTATATAGCCCCACCCTAGCACCAGAACCCCTGACCCAGGGGCCATGAAATTCATAATTTTGGTAGACTCATCCTTGCTTATCATAACTATGTATTCAATTTGTTTCAATAATACCCAGGAGTAGAGAAGACGATTTTCAAAGAAATAATGCACTTTCACTATATGATCTATATAGCCCCCCCCCCCCCCCCCCAGCACCAGAATCCCTGACCCTGGGGCTATGAATTTCACAATTTTGGTAGAGTCACTCTTGCTTATCATAACTATGTATTCAATTTGTTTCAGTAATACCCAGGAGTAGAGAAGAAGATTTTCAAAGAAATAATGCACTTTCACTATATGATCTATATAGCCCCGCCCTAGCACCAGAACCCCTGACCCTGGGGCCATGAATTTCACAATTTTGGTAGAGGGCTCAATGCTTATTACAATCATGTCAACAGTTTGACTGCTTGATGTCCAGGAGTAAAGAAAAAGATTTTTAAAGATTGCATTCATTTTGGTGGTTTTAGCCCCACCCCTCAGGCCCCAGGGGGGCAGGGACCATGAAATTCATAAATTTTGTTCACCTTCACACATAGATGCCATATGCAAAAATTGGCTGAAATTGGTTCAGCGGTTTCAGAGAAGAAGCTGAAAATGTTCAAATGTTTACACACGACGGACGACTCACGACGGACGACAACTGACGAAAACAGATAGCAATAGGTCACCTGAGTGACTCAGGTGACCTAAAAAAGCCCCTTTTTTACCTCGTCCTTGGCGGAATCGTTATCGGCTTGTATCCGGGTCATTTCCTGCTGTAGGGAATCGTAGTCTCGTTTTCCCATGGTAATCAGGTCTTCCTGTTCCAGCATTTGTTCCTTCAATCTCTCTATCATCTGAGACAGTTCATTAATTTCCTCATCCTGACCGGAAAGAGAGAAAAGGTCAATAATACAAGTATAAACAGAGAAAAGGTCAATAATACAAGTATAAACAATGTCTCTATCATCTCAGACAGTTCATTAATCTCCTCATCCTGATCAGAAAGAGAGAAAAGGTCAATAATACAAGTATAAACAATGTCTCTTTCATCTGAGACAGTTTATTAATCTCCTCATCCTGGCCCCAAGACCATAAACTGAGAACAGACTTAAGTCAAAATTTCAAACCAATATAACTTTGGAAATAATTTTGATAATGAAACAAAATTTTTATCATATATTTGAATTTTGCCCCATTTTAAATTTGCACACACTGACCTTATCATCCAGCTGTGAACATACTGACCTTATCATCCAGCTGTGAACACAATAACCTTATCATCCAGCTTTTACTACACTGACCTTATCATCCAGCTGTGAACACAATGACCTTATCATCCAGCTATTACTACACTGACCTTATCATCCAGCTGTGTAAACAATGACCTTATCATCCAGCTGTTACTACACTGACCTTATCATCCAGCTGTGAACACATTGACCTTATCATCCAGCTGTGTAAACAATGACCTTATCATCCAGCTGTTACTACACTGACCTTATCATCCAGCTGTGAACACACTGACCTTATCATCCAGCTATTACTACACTGACCTTATCATCCAGCTGTTACTACACTGACCTTATCATCCAGTTGTGAACACACTAACCTTATCATCCAGCTGTGAACACACTGACCTTATCATCCAACTGTTACTACACTAACCTTATCATCCAGCTGTTCGTAGAGTTTCATTTTCTCCTCTTCCAGCTGTGCCTTGGTGTTCTCGTCCAGTGTGGAGCTGACGCTGGCTGTCAGGGCGGGGGGCGGGGGCTGTTTCTCCTCCTCCTGTAAGGACGCGGTGCTGGCCTTCATGTCTACTTGTTCATCCAGCGTAACAGATTGACCTAAGAATGGAATCAAAATACAGTTGACCTGCAGTATCCTGAACACTGATAGCTCGAATACCATGGATATGTCAAAGTGATTTGGAAGACCCAACCGCTTATTCTTTAAGTATTTTACCCTTGAAATCTCGAATCCTCTGATATCTCAAAGTTTTTTTGCAGTCCCATTGAGTTTGAGATAATGAGATTTGACTGTACATGTTATTACATGCGTGCATTGTACCAGACAGCTTTTAAATTTGACTTCTAAATACAGACTCACTATTCTAATTTATTTTTCAAAAGTTTATAAAAAAAAAATCACATCAAAATTTTATTTCTTTGAATACATGTTCCATATAAGCATACAAGCACTTACAATCATGCCAACTCTGTAGCTGATTTCTATAGGATAATCATTTCAGGAATTTTTATACATTTTTCCGCCAGACTGTGCACAATGTGAGGTGTACTCATTTAGTTTATGCATAGTTGTCATAGGTAAGAAACTACTCACCACGGCATCATTTGGGAGAAACCACTTAACACCAAACCACTGGTAAAAAGTCACTTACAACTGAGCTTTCTCTGAGAAAACACTGACCAGTGCACTGAAGTGAAAAAGCACTTACCACTGCGCCACTTTTGGAGCTCAGCTTGACATTTCTCCAACAGCCCTTTGTACCGCGCCGCTTTCTCCTTCTCTTTCTCATATCTCTTCTTCCATTCTTCCGCTGTCAGTTCTTCATTCACGGATACAATGTTCTTAATTGTCTTAGCTCTATAACAAAATAAAGAACAAGCTAGATTTAACATGTCAGCTCTTCATTCACAGATACAATGTTCTTAATCGTCTTAGCTCTATAACAAAATAAAGAACACGCTAGACTTAACATGTCAGCTCTTCATTCACAGACACAATGTTCTTAATCGTCTTGGCTCTATAACAAAATAAAGAACATGCTAGACTTAACATGTCAGCTCTTCATTCACAGACACAATGTTCTTAATCGTCTTAGCTCTGTAACAAAATAAAGAACACGCTAGACTTAACATGTCAGCTCTTCATTCACAGACACAATGTTCTTAATCATCTTAGCTCTGTAACAAAATAAAGAACATGCTAGACTTAACATGTCAGCTCTTCATTCACAGAAACAAAGCTCTTAATCATCTTAGCTCTGTAACAAAATAAAGAACATGCTAGACTTAACATGTCAGCTCTTCATTCACAGAAACAAAGCTCTTAATCATCTTAGCTCTGTAACAAAATAAAGAACAAGCTAGACTTAACATGTCAGCTCTTCATTCACAGAAACAAAGTTCTTAATCATCTTAGCTCTATAAAAAATAAAGAAATTAAAATAAAGAACATGCTAGACTTAACATGTCAGTTCTTTATTCACAAAGTTCTTGATTGCCACAATGCTCATCTGAATAACCTCGGTCTTACTGTTCTTAAGATGTTTTTTTTTTAATTTAAATTTTTTCCCACTTGATTTGTATAAATTAAATGTAATACAATTTTTATGAGCTACAATACTATAGAGTTATCAAACTTATAATTGGAGAATATTGGCAGGAGTTGGCTGTATAAGTGCACAAGCCTGCAAGTGCATCTGTGCAGCCGAGTGCCAATACTCACCAATAAAGTTTAAAAAACCTACTTTATTGTATAGCTTTAACATTTTCTCAAATGATTTATATTGATTATCTAAATAAAATGACTCAAAATTAAGGAGAATTATTCATAATCGGTATTTACATTCAAAATATGCAATATCAGCGTCTGTCCTGGAAGTGTTAAACATTTCAATGATCCTATCAAGTATTACAATTTGCTTATTGAGGCTTTTATTGAGCACTGATTTATTAATTAATAATTTCAAATTTATGTGAAAATATACATATCTTACCTAGCTGCCACTACCCATCATAAATATTGCTGTTAAGCTGTTGACCAGACAAGATTTTTTTGTTCAAGGCATATTCGATATTGAATGCTTGCATTTGGAATGTTTCGGGGCATACTCATATCACTAACTAAGCATTCAAGAAAACACCAAGATACTGAATGCTAAAATTCTCTAGACTTTAAGTATTTTTTTTTAATTATAGACTATTTATTGGCTATAAAATAATTTATATTACCACTGACCAAAGAGCAGAAATGGTTTCTGATTCACAATACAATACCTACCGCTGACCAAAGAGCAGAGTAGATTTGGTTTCCGCTTCATTGAAGGAGGCTGGGGAACAGCAGATGACGACGGTCGTTCGAGCGTTTCCTCCCAAACTTTCCTGGAGGATACGAGTCAGTTTGCTGTCTCGGTATGGAACATGGCTCTTCTGCAGATTACAACATTACGCCAATTAACTCAGCATGATCAGACACACAAATAAACTCTATATGACAAACACACTAATAAACTCCACATGACAAACACCCTAGCAAATAAACTTTTATATGATACACTAATAAACTGATATTGATCATCAAAAACAGTATTTATAGTAAGTAAACAAGATTTACAAAATCATTCTTGCGCCACTCTGTGCAATGATTACACATGTATTTACAGCTTTTTATATCAATATTTAGAAGCTTATATGTGTGCTTACATTCCCGTCAGCCAGGGCAGCGATGACATTCCCAAGAGCTGATAATGATTTGTTGATATTTTTAGCTTCATCCAACACGGCGCCCTCAGCTCCTGTTTTGCTGACCTGAAAAAGTTGATGAATAATTTTTTATGAAGAAAAAAAAACAATAGAATTTGTTTTATTTGGGGGAAAATTCTCTCTTCCATCACAAGTTTTACAGGAGATGATAATAAATTTGCACAGTCCCACTAAAACACTGTTTTGATAAATGACAAAAGAAACCCTAGAATAGGATTGGTTAGTCTATCATATTCACCTCAATACTTTCTTGGAGCGTAAAGAAAAAATGTCTCTCATACTATTTATGGCCACCTTAATTTCTAACTTTTTGGTTGAAATTGGTTCAGCCATTCCAGAGAAAAAGCTAACTTAAAAAATGTTACACAAGACAGACGAAAACATATATTAATAAATCACCTGAGTGACTCAGGTGACCTAAGCATAGATACACGTACTACTGTGAAATCTCAAATTTCCTTAAGGGGTTTAATTTTCATTCATTTCGTGGTATGAAGAGAACCACAAATTCATGTCCTCCACGAAATTTTAAAATTACACAGTATCGTGTACGACCAACAACCACAAGATTAAATGCCCTCAAATCTGTATTTTTTCCATAAAGCGCAAAAATTTAATCCCAAGAAAAATACTGTGAAATCATTAGTCTTCATGGGGGTTTAATTTTTGTTGTTTTCATGGTATGGAGATACCCTCAAATTTATATCCCCCACGAAATGTTTAAATTCAATACTACAAGTTGATGTTTCTTCTTCACTCATGCAATCAAATCCCCTCGAACCCATATTTTTTCCTAAAACCACGGAAATTTGGCCCCATAAAAATAAGTGATTTTACAGTAAGTGACTTTACAGTGATTTTACAGTAAGTGATTTTACAGTCAGTGATTTTACAGTAATGATTTTACAGTGATTTCACAGTATTAAAGTAATTTTACAGTGATTTTAAAGTAAGTGATTTTACAGTAATGATTTTACAGTAAATGATTTTACAGTAAGTGATTTTACAGTCAGTGATTTTACAGTATTTAATGTCATTTTAGAAACTTACTTTTTCACTTCCTGCCAAGTCCACCAAGTACAGTTTGCCATTAAGTTTCTTCTGGTTCTCGAGATTTTCCTGTTTCACGTTAATGAGGAACACACTGTGTGAGCGAGAGCTATGCTCATTCATATCTACAATATAAATCATATATTGTTAGGGGTGAGGAAATTCTGTACATAAACCACTGAATTGTCTAGGAGGGGTTGCTTATATACAGTCACACCTCCTTAATCTGGATGCTTGAGTTCCCAAGTAAATTGTCCTGATTAATGAAACAAACATGTACTTGGTATCTATAAAGTATAAATATAAATTGTTCTCCATAAATTTTGTCTGGAAGATAAAGCATCTGGATTATTGGTGTACAGTTTAACAAGGCTCCACTGTACAAGGTATTGTCAGAGTTGGTGAAATTAAGAAATAAATCTTTTTAGTCACATCCGTATAAATCTAAGTCTCCATTCCCTCTACATTTACTGTAGAAGCACAAATTTTCCTGCGGATGAAATTTCATTGATTTGTCATCTAAAATGGTTTTGTGCACATTAAATTTCGATGTTTCCGAAGCTACCTTGTTCAATAATTATACAGTCATGTAAAAAATTCTAGTGGGATATAATTTAGTTGATAATTGTTATCAACGAAATAAATGAAATTTAATCCCCAACAAATACCTGTGCTTTTACAGTACATTATACATAGAGATCATGGCTCTACTGGTGTAATAGTGTAAAACATTCACAGTGATTTATACAGCCCGGGACTTTATATAACCAATGCATTTTGAGCAGCTTTTAAAGGTGGTCCCAGGATCAGGAAGCAGTCTTAGACTTAATCACTCAATCATAAAATGAATTTCTGTTGTAAAATGACACTTGAAAATTGATATAAAAAACTTACTGGTGACAGCGACATGACGATTAGCTTTTCCTTCATCAATGGCTTCCATCACTTCTTCAGGACTCGACACGAATCTTTCTGTGGCGCCCTGTATAAATATACAGTCAATGACAAATGACAAACCTCTCTGTAGCTCCCTTCATAAATATACGTTCAATGACAAATGCATGTCAACTGATCCTATTCCAATTGATTCCAATTATGAGCTCATTTTTAAATCTCATTAAACTAAAACTCAATCTCAGTGTCTCAACATAACAACTCAATATCTCTCATCATCACAACTCCATCTTTTATGCATCACCTCCTCTCTCTCTCTCTCTCTCTCTCTCTCTCTCACGTCAGGACTATGTGATCTCTTTCTTCCCACAAGAGACTAAATTTCTTTCCTTCATGATTTTTGTCTCTTTTTCTCTCTCTTGATAAATGTGCCACTCCATCTTTTTTTTTCTCTCACTCATTTGTCCAAGTTTCCTCTATAAAATTGAAATATCTGATGGGGAAACATTTTGTTTCACCATTTTTACCACAATTCTACCGGAAGAGTGGAATATAACCCACCTTGACATAGGGAACTCTATTCTTGTCTTCATGTACTGATAAATTCACCTTGGAAACTACAAAAAAAAATATAAATCATCTATCACAAACTTAACAAAACTATAATAATTTATGACAGTCAATAATTACATTTATACCTCTCATGTTACTTGTATTAAGTACCTGTGTTAGTAAAAACAAAAATTTTAACGATTGAATTCCCTCTTCAATGGAAATATACATGTACTTTATTATGCAAATTACATCAATTGCCATAACTTATCTCATGCTGCAATTCTTCTAAGTACTGTGACTTGTTGTACAGTTCTTGGTAGACAAATCATGATAAATTTCTGACATCAGAATTGATCATTACTACTGCTTTGTGCATAAAGGGATAAGTGCTTAAATATGGCAATTTATGTTTGGGGGTAATCTAGGTAAAGTAAATTTTGTCTCCTGGAAAAAAATATTTCAAGTAAGTATCCCCCATCAGAACCAATGCCTTTGTATACATGTATTTATTTAATCCAGCCAAAAAAGTAAATTATGCTTGTATCACAAGATTACCCCCTCCCCTTTCCCATGTTTGGTTTATCCTACTTAAGACATTAATATCCACATTCACAGTAATCTATCATGTCTATAGGTCACTCATACTCACTGTCCAGCAAATCTCGGATTTTATCCATGTAGATCTCAAAATATGAAACCTAGAAAAAATAAAATAAAACTGAAGATAAAAGAAATCATCAGTCATGTACATGTTCTTACAACAGAGTTTCTGAAAACCATCAGTACTACCGGCAAAACCAATAGAAAATTGAAATGTCCGAGGCAATTCACTATATCACCGGTCAGCATCTACGATCAATTTCTGCTTTAACAATCCATTGTTTTTTTTTTTTTGGTTTCATTATACCCGTAAAGTTTTGTCTTTTTATCGTAACCAAAAAGCCTTTAGCGAATTACTTTCTGGTAGCAAAATAAACAGGGGCAGATAATTCTAATCTACACTACTAGGAATAATCTAGAGAGTTCCGAATGTCAACATGGATGTAAATTTTAAAGAAAAAAAAGTTGAGAAAATGAGTCGTCCATTATAAATTCACCAACACACCACCCCTAAATGATGTGGAATTCCATTCCCTACTACACCCCTAAATTAGCTTTATACACCTACTTTGATATGGAATTCCAGATTTTCCTCCATTCCATAAATGTAACTGAAGATGTCCTGAACGATCCTTGGAATAATTCCATGCATCTTGTCATTTCCCAGAACACCCTGTCCAAGACGAAAATAGCAAATTCTTAAGATAGTCAACATAAAGTAAGAATTAATTACATATTTCCAACTTGTGTATACACAATACATTCGAAAGAAATCCTTCAGTGGTACATGTATCTTTTAGCTTGTCTATGGACTAGAACTCTGTATATTACATAGTACATACTTCTCTCCTACTGCATGAGCATAAAATAGTCTTGAAAATATTAAATGGACGTTTCTCATAAAAATCCTAAAACTGAAGCACACAATTATTCAATTCAAAGCCATCAAAACAGTGCTCTCTGTTCTTTTTCTATGTATTTATCTCCCTTGCATGAGCTTAAAAACATGATTATCTTCTTTCTAGAAGAGTTCTGACAAGGGCAATAACTCTAAACTATTTAAGAATCCCACCTCCATTGTATGAGTTTTGCCAGAGGATGTCTGTCCATATGCAAAAATTGTTCCATTGTACCCACCCAATACATCTGAAAGAAAAGATCTCAATAACTAAAAAGATTTACATGGGTAAGATAGAAAAATACAGTACAATAGGATCTAATTGATCCAAATCACCTTGAACTGGTGTAACTTTTGAACTTCATGGAAATTAGCTAACAGAAAAGAAACAAATACCAGTAAACTTATTTATTAACTGGACTCATTAAAAATTGGTCATAAAGGAATTATCACATTTATAGTGCTATAGACATACATTTTTTGCTATGTACCTGATCAAAAATTTGTCACAGCATACTTATTGCATATAAGACACAAAATGGCAATCCAAAAAAATAAATGTGTAGTTTTATACCCACTTATTGGACAGAAATGGTCATTCTGCTGAATTAATTATGACCCTGTGGAAAAACATGAAAAAAGTATGTTTACATTAACTCTGTATCAATACAAACCAGCTACAATAGGTTTAGCTGCTGTCTCGTAGACCTGCTCTTGAGTGACATTGGGTTTCAAAACTCTGTCAAACACAAACAGCTTCCCCTACAAAAAACCAACAATCAAGTTTACTAACATTGATTAATTAGTTAACATTGATTAATGTTTAAGCAGCATGCATGCACTTTCACTGAGCAAAATAAGATGCAACTCTAATTGCACATATATGACTGAATGAAAAAAATCGCCTGAACTATCTCATGATTGATTAACATCATACTAGATGCAACTATTAAACATTAATAGCGAGCACAGTGAGCGACATGAATGCCTGGGCAAAGAGAAAATTCGGACTATGCACATTGATCCAAATGATTTTTTTTTCTACAGTAACCTCTAGACCCTCAACAACGAGAATGCACATCTTGCTGCTAACTACATTCTCAGCAAAAGTTCACCAAAATAATAAAATCACCTTCATACATGTTAATGGATATTGCAACTTAATAGTAGATTAAACATTCTTTGTTAAAATTTGCACTTTTCAGACTTCATTTTCGTAATGCACCAAATATATCACGCCACATGATGTTACAGTTTAGATATTCCAAATGTCTTGTGAGGATTGAAGAGGTTGATCTAACAGCTGTCTAACTTAAAACTGATTAGGTATCCAAACTAATACACATCTACACTACTGTCACACCAGCAACATATTAAGAAAAATAATCAAGTGATTGGAAATTGTTTCATGCTACCTACTGATAAAAGAATCAAAACGACATGCAACACTTTAAGAGTATATCAGAGACATATATCAGAGGTAACTATACAAGCCCCACCCCCACCCTTTTTTTTCCCAGACAGTCACACCTACAGGTTATTACGGAAAATGCTCATTAATTTTTTTTTTTAATGACCAAAATGCTTCTCTGCAGAAATGAGTACTTACACCACAGTTAATAGAGTCTTCTGTCGGGAACTTAACCACGAATTTACTCCCTGCCTTCTCTTCCGAGGAGTTCAAAGGCCGGATACGACAGACGACTTTGATGCCACATTCGTCAGCCGGCGTCGTCATATTTCACCAGGACGATTGTTGCAGTCTGAGTCTTTTATGAATCTAATTATGCATCGATCTCATCAATATGATGGAAACTCGGTTCATCATTATAATTCAAACGCATACAAGACCTCTTAAAACAACAACAAATTGACTTAAAATAAGAATTTTCAGAGAAAATCTTCAAGTGGAATGTTTAAAGAACTAGAAATACGGAAGGGTGTTGCCTTGCACTCTTTGAAAACGGTGGATCGTGTCCAAGTTTATATCACATAACGTCTGCTTCGAATTCCATAATCAATGTCAGAAATGCATGGTGGAAGATGACGTGATTTATGGATTGCGGGGAACCTCGTTTATTTGTGAGACCTTACAATAATGTTTCAAGAGGATTCCCGAACAAATTTTCGGCATAATGCAAATTCCGGTACTAGACAATTCGTACACAAACATTTTCGGGTGCTGCTAAATTCTACCAGAATTTTTAAAAATTAGTAATAAAAGAAATTTGAAATTAACATGAAGAATATTAAATTGGGCATTTATATCAGGAATTACTAACAATTTTTTTTTATTTTTATCAGTCTAATACTACACATTTCTACATATAGAGACCAGTTTACGTGAATTAATTATAAAACTCTTTGTAAAAATAGTGAAAATATTTCCCACAAGTTAGAGGTTATAAGTCTCATTTGATGTCATGCTTCAGTGATTATTTTATGGTCATCTGATTGGTAAAATCAAGTAAATGTTGTTCTAATGAAGAAATAAGTAATCATAATTTGGACAGTGTTTGGATGGTAAAACAAATAGCAAACCTTTTTTTAAATATAATTTAAAACCTTCAACTTTCATAAAGTGTATGATCGATTTGTATTTTGGATATATGATGCATGAACATTATTAGTTATATACTCAACCCTACAATATTTAATTAAAAGACAAACATTAAAGCAAGCATGAATTACAACGACTAATTAAAAAAAGAAAGAAAGAACTGATGTGGAATCATTTCGTGGGGTTCCACGTACGTGAACTCCTATACAGTACATTCAATGAGCACATGTACATTGATATAATAGTAATCCTTCGTGGGGATGTAAATTCGTGGGTAAGCGTGACCCAGGAAATTTAATCCACACACATTGCCCCCCCCCCACTCCCCAACGAACAATGATGAATACACAGTATTTATCATGCTAATTACTGTTTTGTTTTGAACATATTTTATTGAATGAATCAAAAGGATTGGAAACAACTTCTTACAATTAACTTACTGGTTCCTCACCTTAAATATAACAATAGTCAAGCAATTGAAATAGTTACAGTACATAGAAATATAAATTTAACAATTGATACAAGTGAAAATTCTGTTAAATGACATAGAAATTTAAAATCTACAGGTTTCATCAATAAATTTATACACATGCAGCAGCAACAATATTGATATTAGTTTGTAAAGGTAAATTTACATCACCCCATAATATCAATTACTGTGATATATATATGCTAGACAAGGACAGAGCAGAATTAATGTATGAGCCGATGGTAGAGAGTGCTTTATTATAGGATTATGAATCGTACTGTTCATCGAACTTTAAAATAATACTTGGAATTTCGTTATGTCAAAACCTAGACATTAGCCCTTTGTAGAGGTGTCTGAGAGAGGAACGAACGGTATGCAACTCTGCATGGGAGAATGATAATAAAGTTAATTGTAAAAAAGAAAAAAAAATAATAAAGTGACTACATCAGTCTGGGTTATTTTGGAAAAAAAAATTCCATATACATTAAATTAGACTCCCCCCCTCCCCCCGCCACTACGGTACAACCATCACCCCCCCCCCCTCAACCCCAATACTGGCAAAAATACGGTACTGTGTCTGAGGTAAAAGAGTCGGCTAATCGGAACGAAAGTCATCAGAATGTTTGAAGTATATAATTACTGCACGTGCAGCCATGTCATGCATACTGTAAAATTCAGTTCCACCTGAGAATATTTTCATCAAGTTCGACACGAGCATTTTGCTACTAATTCCGGCGAGCATTCAAAATGTATGACGCTATAAGTTACTATAAAAAATTCTCTCATATGTTAATTAAGTCTTTTACCCATTAAAAGATTATCATTTCTTTAAGAAATAAATTTGTACTATATATGTAAGGTTTGTGAATGAATGTGTACATTTTTACAAATACACATGTAATTTCAGTTAGAAAAAATAAAAGCAACCATATGTACCTTTTGTATGATTGGCACAATGGAAACTTCTCAGAAAGTATTCTAATTTCCTTAATAGCAATTTTTACTACTCAGTTCAAACTACAATACAAAAGATTAGAGGGTTTTAATATTATTGCCATTTTTGTGTCAAATTTTGACAACATTGCAAAACTCGACAAAAGTTACTCAACCGCAGAACTGTCACGTGACACATACGGCATTACTATGCTCTGTCCTTACAATACGTATATATTTACATCCACTGAAGATTTTCTCCTATTAAAGAGGAGACTTTTTAAACACTAATGCTTTTTTTTTTACTTTGAGCAATACGTATCATACAATTTAAGGTACACATATTGAAAATGTATCTGCTTCATTTTCAATATAGAGTACCAGCTGCCATATTTCCCCAGGAAAAAAAGGGTATTCAAAGACAATGAAGTATTAACAAACAGAAATCACTTTTGTTTACTTATATTTGGGAAATGCATGGAAATAATGAATTCAGTTATTTTGCTTGGTCTAATATGTTCTTAAGAATACTTTAATCTATTTCAAATTATTTAACTAACTGTAAATTTCCATTTATTCTGTCTTATTTCCAAGGAAAGATCACTCTATAACTGCCTACATTTACTTGAAATATGAACTTTTCAGTAGGCAGTGATTAGAACCTCCATAACATAAAAGAGACCTTTGTCTGAGTATGTAGAAATCCCAGTGACAGCTCAGGTGAACGTCACAGGTGACCGACACAGGTGAGCGTCACAGGTGACAGACACAGGTGACCGACACGGGTGAGCATCACAGGTGACCGACACAGGTGAACGTCACAGGTGACAGACACGGGTGAGCGTCACAGGTGACAGACACAGGCGAGCGTCACAGGTGACCGACAAGGGCGAGCGTCACAGGTGACCGACACATACCATTACTAATTCTTGTTAAATCAGTCCTGTTTCTTTTATTAAGAAATCAGATGGGAAAAAACATGGTAATAAAATGTTTTACTTTTCAATGATCGGTAAAAAGCTAACAGAAATCAATTCCTTCTATACTAGCATCACGGGTTATATATTTTCAGACTTAACGTAATTTTACCTTTTTCAAAATCAAGCAACATCACTCTCTTATATTTCAATTTGCTTTAATTTCTGATATATATATATATATATATATATATATATATATATATATATATATATATATATATATATATATATATATATATATATATATTTTAAAGGTTGGATTCCTGTGAAGTACGTTCACTTTTCAAATGGAAATTCAATCGCAGTTGAGTAAAAACATTTTTTAAAGACTATATCCTCTCGTGAAAGTTTTATAATCTTTCTCTTCAATTTTGCTTTAAGGTTCATTAATTGATACTCTGATAAGAGAGGTAACTTTTAATGGGATAAATTTCTCTTATTCCTTTATAATATTTTCAAGTAAAAATGTCTTTTTTGTCTAATTTTGCTCCCCAAACTATGCTACATTTGTTTGCATTTTACTTATAAAATACATTTCTTAAAAAATTTTTTAGAGATCTCTAAGCATTAAAGCAGCATCCGATATGTGAACAAAGGGACCAGGAACCTTAATGCCCCCGATTTTCAAAAAAAGAAATCTTGTATTTTAATATAATAGAAATGCTCGCAATTTCATCATACCTTGTGGGCAAGATTTAACAAAATGAACCCTTCAATAGTCAATAAGCCCAACGAGAGTTATCTCTTTTGTCAGAGGCTTCAGGAACCTTAAGAAAAGAAGCAGTTGGGCTGTCCTTAAAGACTGAAATCAGCACATTGTTAGGTCTACAGAACTTAAAACATGGGACCAGACTCCTAGAAATAATGTGGAATCGGATGACCTCTCCGAGAAAAAACGTGGGCCTGACTTCGATGAGAAAAAAAGGAATCTGAAGACTTAAATTCCCCGAGAAAAAAAAAGATGATGTGGGCCTGACTTTTCCGAAAAAATTTGGAATCTGATTTCTAAGAGAAAAAAAGTGGTGTCTGCCTCTCCAAGAAAAAAAAAGAAAAAAACGTTCACTGATTTTGCCTTCTCAAAAAAAAAAAAAAAACAAAACAAAACAAAACCAAACCAAATAAAAAAAACAAAAACAAAAAAAAAACCTTCTCCAAGAAAAAAACATGGGATCGCCTTCTCTAAGAAAGAAAACTTGGAATCTGCCTTCCTGAGGAAAAAAAACGTGGTATCTGCCTTCTCAAAAACAAAAAAACAAAAAAAAAAAAAACTGGGAATTGCCTTCTCCAACAAAAAAAAATTGTGGTCTCTGCCTTCTCCAAGAAAAAAAAAATGGGGGATCTACCCTCTCTAAGAAAAAAAAAGTGGGATCTGCCTTCTCGAGAAAAAAAAAAAAACAAGAGGCCCAAGGGCCTTGACTCCCTCTTCTGATAAATTGTACAACCAATTACTTCTATTTGAAGCCTCTAAGTTTCTTTATATATAAATAAAGCCTTGAAATTCAAAAGTAGGTCATCATGACCTACATTTTAGATAAAACACCCTGAGAACCCAAGATGATCTAAGCCAATTAGTACCTGAGAGTAGGTCATGGTGACCTAGTTATCACTTGTCATCCTCCGAGAACCCAAGATGCACCAACTAACTAAGTTTGATAATTCTAAGCCAATAAGTACCTGAAATATTTATATAAAGCCATAAAATTTCAAAAGATGCAACAACTGACAAAGGTTGATGATTCTAAGCCAATTAGTGCCTGAAGTATTTGAATAAAGCCATAAAATTTCAAAAGTTGGTCATGGTGACCTACTTTTCAGTCAACTTAATTATTCCAAGGACCCAAGATGCGTCAACTGACAAAGTTTGATGAATCTAAGCCAATTAGTACACGAATATTAAATTATAGCCACATAAATTGAAAAGTAGGTCACAGTGACCTACTTTTCAGTTCTTGTACTCCGAGGACACAAGATGAATCAACTGACAAAGTTTGATGATTCTAAGCCAATTAGTACCCGAATATTAAATTATAGCCACATAAATTGAAAAGTAGGTCACGGTGACCTACTTTTCAGTTCTTGTACTCCGAGGACCCAAGAGGAATCAACTGACAAAGTTTGATGATTCTAAGCCAA